TTCGAGCGCGTCACCACAGGACGACTTTAGCTTTGGTTCCTTTCGCCAGTTTGGTGACATAGCCCCTGGATCTCCCACGTCACATCCTTCGCATGCGACGGCTACACAACGGCCTTTGAGCGTTCAGGTCGCACCTTCGAAGGGCACTGGCCGGCGGCACTCGTTCATTCGCCCGAGCGACGTTACCTCGAAACCCGTCGCAGAATCCTCGCAGCGAGACTCGGGCTCGTCGAGGGACTCGTGGATAAGGCGGCTATCTATCCGACCAATCTCGCAACATGGAAGCCCGAGATCTAGCATGGCTCCACCAGATTCACCGTCACTGACGTTTTCCAATGGTTCTGGTGTTCCGATCCTGGGACAAAAAACCCCAGTGTCACATACCGCGCCTAACAAGCTGGTCAAAAGAACACCTTCACACCATCACGGCACGCCGGATGCCCAGACGGGACGGCCCCCGAAATCACAGATGCCACTGCTCCGACGGCCCGCTACGAGCCACCAACGGTCCGCGACGCTTCAGCAATTTCAGACGCAGGGCTTCTCGACGCCTCCTCTGCCCGAGGAAGGGTACCCGATAGAACGACCACTGAGGCCGATCGAGCCGTTAATGTTACCACAGGTAGATGTGGTGGCAGAGGCAGCGCGGAATCCTGGAAAGTGGACGTCGTATTTCAACACGCGGGTTGCCAAACCATTCCTAAGTCGAGGAATTTCTGGGCGTACAAGCGAAAGTAGCCCTGGTAACAGCAATTCTCCGTTACCCCAGCGGAGAGTGTCGGTGCACATTAGCAGTGCATCTCGGCCCTACCTGACCAAGGCGGCTTGGATTACAGGTTCCCCAACGATGGTGCCAGAAGACGTTGCGTCACCAATGATCCCGGCGCTGGCACCGGCACCGCAGATTGTGCCAGGAAGTCGCAAAGCTTCCCAAGACGCAAGCAATTCGTCAGACTCAGCCGAATCGACGCCATCGAAAAAGGCGCGAAAATCCATGTCGATGCATTTCAGCTCGCCGACAAGCTGGATGTCAAAAACGGGGAGCATGCGGCGAGCGAGACGGAGCACGGTCGACGCCAAGAGCGGGAACGGCCGCCCTGCGGCAGCGGCAGCGGCAGCAGCAGTCAATGCTACGTCGAGCCCGACGCAGACGCATTCTGAAGCGAAACCGACTTTGGACGAAATCTTTCATCCGGTCGAGCCAGCGCATACCCTAGCTTCCGGGCAACAGCTGCCGCATCAAACGCAGCAGCTTCGAACCACGGAACCTGAAACAAGCCCACCAACGACAGCTTACCACCCGGGGCGCAAGAGAAATACGTCGTCTCCGCTGCCCCCAATTTCCCGCCTGTCTAGTTTCAACATCGACGTCGCGCGATTGGGCCAGTCTAGTCCATCGTCCACCACCCCTACGAGACAGCACTTCCACAGCCCAATTAATTACATGGCGGGCTCATTGACCCTCGCAGGTCTACCACGAAGCCGCGGCGGCTCGGGAGAGCACACGTCTACCTTAGGCAGCTCGGATTTTGAAGGAAGAGATGGCATTTCCGGGGACGATGAAGACACTGATTTTAAGAGCGATGGCATGTTTGACTCGTTCCGCACCGTTGCGTCTTCGAGCAGGCTGCGAACGGTCGAAACGCCTATAGAATCCATGTTCGATGAGTCCCCGCCGAGCACAGCTGGCAACAACACCAAGACCAAGCGCTTGTCGATCCAAGAAATATTAGGACAACCTTGGGATGGAGATACCAAAATCATGGAGGAAGATGAGAGCGCACCGACACCTATCCGCCCTTCGCGCCTTGGCGAGCCTGTCGAGTTTACACAGCGTGAGGGAAATGGCGAGAGGTTCAGTTTTGAGAGCTCATCGGATCTACAGCTAGCCAATCGTGACGCGAGCCGCATGTCATTGGATGAAGATGACGATGATGATTGGGCGCGCGATGACGAGAACACGCTGAGCAACCACCTTTCACCACCCTCGAGCTCCACCAACTCTAGGCGTGTCAGCCCAACATTCCGACACGCCTTTCTTCGTCTGAATGGAAACGCGGCAGCCGATCTGCGACGAGATGCAATGGAAGACCGGCCACGAAGCAACATCTTCGACTGGGTCGAGCCCTCTGCGCTCGATAAACTCGACAATGATGGTGTCTCGGCTCGACCCAAGACTGTGCATGGAAAGCACGAGCTTGATTTGAGAGTCGGACGGTCGGTGACCAGGAAAGGACCGAGTGCCGCCCACATTCGGAGTCAGAGTGTTCCGCTTGCTGTAGACCCGTCGGACAATTCCAAACCTGCTCCCAAGTTTGGAACATGGGGTTTAGGAACCAAGACGGCCAGCGAAGATTGGGACGATGATTTCGAGTTCGAGGAAGGTGTCCCCGATCTATCGGGAGGAGGAAAGGATTCTGCCACCAGCTTCTCCATGGTTGTGCCGGCATCGATCCAGGCAACGCAGCCTACTGTCAGGGCACATTCGGGACAGATCCGAGAGCTGTCGCTACTCGTCAACGATCTCAAGCGATTATGCCGCCACGGCAAAGAGCTTGATATCCTAATGGGCAGTCTCGCTCCAAAGTGGCTTGAGGCTGAGAATATCATAGCCCTTGCGGCCCCGGATGAAGACAGCGACGACGAAGCTCAAAGCGCTCGACACTCGGAGGAGCTTGACCGGTCCAAGATGGATGACCGGTTCCTGGACGAGGGCTTCGACAGTTCTATTCTCGACCTGGACAGTCCATTCGGAACCCCAGAGCGCGAACTCCGCGAGATGTCCAGAACGACAGTGGTAAAGGAGCGCCAGGTGGTCCGTCGCCGATCCGTTTTCTCGCCAGACGACGACATCTTTGGCAACAACTGGCCAATACCCGAGGAGAGCAGCAGTACGCGAAACACGCGCCCGCACACGCCGGAATCACCAAGAAACCCCAACAAAAGCTCGGCGATGCTTGCTACGGTGATTGAAGCAATGCAGCAGCAACGTTCTATTTCTGATCCTGTCAGAAGCCCTGCGCCTAATAAGCCCTCCAATTCCAAGCTCTTTTTCGACACCAACAGCTTGCAGGAGTTGGTCAAACGAGCGGGCCACCTGCGAGACCAACTGGCAGATGCCGTCCGCCGCGCAGAGCTCCTGACACAGAGTCCTGCCAGAACTCCCAGGCGTGAGCGACACCGCCCCAACAACAACCTTGACGGGAGTCCTGCCTTCACAAGAGTCTTCTCCGACCCTGCCACAAGCCCCCCACGACGGCTTCCGAAGAGCCACAGCACCAACTCAGTGCTGAGCAAAAAGACATCGGTCGACTCGCCCCGAATGCAGATGATGACGGTCAGCTAAGGCGAGATAATCACGAAAGAAAAACACATTGTAGTAGACTAGACACACGATACCTAACGATTACCCGCCTAATTCGACCAACCCTACCATTACCACATTGTGTATCAGACGGCAACAAGACCCCGAAACAAACACACCAAGGATTCCTTTGTCACTAATTATGTCATTTTTTCTCTCTCTTCCTCTACACTTTTCTACTTTATCATTATTAACGATTAAGGCATATTTTTCTTTCCCAAAAGCTGAATGCGTATAAGCACAGCACATTTCATGATTCCGGAAGGGCTTTGCTTATACACACACAAAACTCTCGAGACCTTGTATATTGTATGATACACTTTTTCCTCCCTCTCTTTCTATGGTCCACTTTTCTTTTTTTTTTTCTCGGGGCTAGCTTGAGCGTTGCTCGGCTTTTTCGCTAGAATACTGCATGGCATGGTTTCTGCACCACGCATGACATGATGGATGGAATCTGATAGGGATGGATGGATGGCAATGGATGATGGGCTTGGTATGCGATGCTACGCGATTGATGGGTACTTATAAGTTGGACAGGTACAGGACCTTCGCTGTTTTACGTCATGTATGTTTGTGGATAACGGTTTGAATGGACGGATGGTTGGTAGTTTATACGATCAATGGGGTTGGGCGACTGACGCGAGGTTGTGTGGCTTGTCAGAGGGAGAAATAGATAGTTAAGGGGATTTCTGTCTCTCCATCCACCACCACATAGTAGGCAGGTGCAGATCAGTTGTGTTTGAGGAGGACCAGGCATGGAACCACATTACAAATGGAATGGAAATGGACCCACACCACCAACTGTCACAACTGTTCCTTCATCGATCGACTGGAGCTGGGAAGAAACGCAGATTCATGATTAGAGAAACAAGTGATGTTTATGGATTGACTGAGCTGTTGATTCGACTGGGTGATGATTATGTCCTACATGGTGTATGTATACACGTGGTGTTAGTGTATGACCTCGTCCCAAACAACCAGCTAGTTCTTCTAAGCTTGTGTAGATAACATCCCAAAGAGGTATGGAACCCTTAATACCAGCCAACCAAACAGCCTGACAATATTCCGCAAAGAAGAAGGAAATGAATGAAAAAAGGGGCTTGTGCTATGGACATGAATGACAACACCAAGACGCCGGGTATTGTTCTCGGCGAATGAAAATTAGCGACGAAGCCCCGATAGACTCTCGAATATTGTTGTTGTTGTTTGCTTGACAATGTCTCTCTGTCCAGACCGTTTAGAACACATTGTTTCTTTTTTGTTTGTCATGGTCTTGGAAGTTGAGCAGACCAGAATGAAGCCGGTTCTCTAGGATCTAGTGGCAATAGGTATAGAGAGAGAGAAATAGATTTCAAGCCGCCGAAACATGAGTAAGAGTTTTAGGGAGGAGACAAAGAGATAGATCTTGTGGGCATCAAGAACCCACATGTAAGTAGGTATATAGGTAAGGGCTATTACTAGACTGTATGTACCTATTCCATGAGCGACCTTTCCGTTGCACCCGGAGAGAAATGAGAGAGGTCTAAATACTAACTAAACCTTGGTGAGAAAATGACGAGAAAGAAAAAAAAGTAAAACACCAAGATATCAAATAGCAAAGGGCCAGCCAGCCAGAAGAAGGCAAAAAGGATAGAAATGACTGGGGCGCGATTCGAACGCGCGCCTCTTTCGAGAGTAGAAATCACCAGGCACTATGAATACCAGGAAGAAGGAGAAGGAATATAATATATTCCGTATCTTCTTGAGTCTACCGCCTTAGACCGCTCGGCCACCCAGCCATTTGTGGGCTACTTGGTTACTGCTTGACATGATTCATGTGAATGTTTATTTAATAATAGGCTTATTACCGAGAAAAACTCTTACGGTGGTGGACCTATCTTGGACTCTATGTGTAGGAAAAGACCGTGGTTGTGTGCCCTGGTGGGTATTGAGGCTTGTGGATTCTTTTGGCTGGATGTATCCACCTCCTCACGTTGTGGGACGGATACAGGCCATGGCCTGACAAGTATCAAGGCAGGCACGTGGGATATGCTGGAATTAACCTTACTTCTTACTTACTGGTAGATACAGTAGGTACGTCCAGTTCTATCGTGATATCTTTCTCCGGAAGCATCAAGCAATGACTGAAAGGGTAGCATGGTGATCACCAAGTCAATGTTCGGCATGTTATCCAACAAGGTCGAGCCCATATGTTCCGTACTGTACAACCTCGGAGGTTACCAACCCATAATAAATCCAGCATCAAGTATCGCCATACATCTCCTAGGAAAGAAGAGCCAGACAGATGGACAAGCCAGAGATCTAACTCCGAATCAGACAGTACCGCCAAGTTTCTTCAACATGCTTGCTTTAACGACAAAAAAGCAACCGGCAACAAGACGAGGAACTAACACCGCATGCACTCCATCCAAGCGTTAAACACACCGAGAAGGACGAAACTTCAGAAGGAAACAGTAAAAACTCACCCGAGGTAAAACGTAGACAAACAGACAGACAGACAGAGGGAGAGTGGGATATTCACCACCAAAACACGGATCCAAGTTTCGGTTTCTCTAACTCTTCAGTCGAGTTGTCGCCGACAAGTTATAGGCAGTCGAGATTTCTTATTCCACCAAGGAAAATCAATACTTTATATCCCTAACATCATTTCTGAAATTCTTGTGTGTTTTCTAATCCAGCAAGATGACTGACTGGGGGGTGTGAAGCAGGATAAATCAAGACAGGCAGACTAATAGACAGACAGACAGACAGACAGACAGACAGACAGACAGACAGACAGACAGACAGACATGTGAACGGGAGAAACCAACCTACGGGGTAGATCTTGTCCATAGTCGGAACTCCGAGGTACAAAATATCAGTGATAGCAAGCAGTGCTTACCTCGGGTGCGTTGGTAGAATTTACAGATACAAGATCCTCGTTCTTCTTGGATTGCTTTTCGAGAGTATCCCACGATTCCCACCGTACATGTAAAGCTTAGTACGTGAGTTGATTATGCTGTCCCTATGGTTGGTTGAAGAGGGATGCACTGGTTAATGAACAATCATGTATCTGTGAAACCGATTGAGTTTGGGCCTGAAGCCTTCGTGTCGTGACATGAATACGATAGGATCAACATCATGAGCTATGGCTGAGAGCATCAGATACGCTCACGACACAGACGGAGCAAATCAAGTGGTAGTTGACGCTGAATTTATTGAAAGCCGTAAATATGATAGCTAGTAGCACAATAAGAAATCCGGATTCTCAAGAGGAAAAGACGAGAATTATAGTCGCTCCCTAGGAAATCCAGTGCGCACGGAGACGCAACCCAAGATAAAACCATCCCAAAGCCGAGGTCGAGACCTGTCGGCGAGCCCTCAGAATAATAACTAGGAAAAGAAAAGATGAAACAGAAACGAAACGAAAAACTAATTAATTTTAAGGATAGAAAATCCCCTCCTCAATGGCAGAAAGCATTGAGGGATCATAAATCGTCCAGAGAGCCGAATTGCCCCGGAGTCACTCTTTTTTTGCTCCTAGTGTCAAAGCCATGTTTCTCCAATAATCACGCTCGGCGGTGAGCTTGTCGATCTTCTCCTCCAGTTCCTCAAATTTCTGGGCCTTGCGCTCGCGGGACTTGCGAGCGGCCAAGGTGTTGCGAGCACGCTTCATGGCAACAGTGTCGTTCGGGTCCTCAACCACGATAGGAGGAAGAGGCTTGTTGCGATGGCGCGCATTGACACCAGAGATAGAAGAATGACGACCAGTAGGAGGAGAGCTGCCCGACTTGCGCCGCTGATGGCCCGGGGAGCGTTCCGCAACCTCGAGATCATCAGATTTCTCAGCGGGCGACTTCTCCACAGGCGAGGCCTTGGGAAGTTCCGGCTGAGGGTTCGACGGAGGGAAAAGCGGGAACCAAGCGTCATTACCACCATCAAAATCGCTGCTTCCGAAGTTGGGAGAGACATCAAAACTGTCGCCAAAGTCGGGCGACTCGTTATATATCGAAGGGGAAGTCAACGCCGTGAGGGCGGTGGAGTTGGGTGCTGACATGAACGGATCCTGGATCAGCAGATCCTGGGGAGAGACAGTGCCCATGTTGCTGGTAACACTGCTGCTCAGGTCAAACACGGATGGCATGGCGGGCGAAGAATACGCCGTGGAGGCGCCACCCTCGAAGGCAACGAAGTCCTCCAAGTCGCTTAGGTCTTGATGTTTCAATTCATGTAAGCGATTGAAACCAGACGCTGGTGGGTTCAAGAGCAGCGTCTTACCTTGGAGATTCATTTTGCCTTGTGGTATATTACCAGTGCTTTGGGTGAACAAAGGAACAGGCGGGCGAACGGGCCGGTTGTTCTGCAGGTTCAAAGCGACTGTTGACGAGGGAGCGGACGAAGCGTAGAACTGATGCTGGTTCTGCGCAGAAGAGCTGAACCGATTGGTGAAAGCCGAAGAAGTTGTATTATGCCCTGTGGCCTGGATGATGCTGGAAACCCGTTGGTGCTGGACAGACGGAGAAGTAACCTGCTGCTGTTGTAGTTGACTAGTTGGGAAAAGCTGCTGGGTACGATGCTGTAGCAGGTTGGTCTGGTTTACACGTCCGTTGGCGGATGGTTGAGAAACAGAGCGGTTAGGTTGACGCTTGATGGGCTGATCGAACAGAACGAAGTCCTGCTGATTGTTGGGCAAGTTGAGGTGCTGCAATTGTTGCTGTTGCGCGGAGTGTGCCGGCAGGCTCGGTGAACTGGAGGGAAGCCATGTTGACTGATTTGAATCCGTGGTGAAGACTGGGAAGTCTTGGCCGTGAATGGTGGCGGTGTTGGAAGAACTGAAGCGCGAGCTGGGAAGCTGGAAGCTGTAGTTCAGATCGACCTTTTCAGGAAGAACTGAGGTTGAAAATTGAGTGGGGAGAACGTTATTCTTTGAGGAAGAAATGGTGGCGACTTGTTCTGAAGTCGAGGGGACACGAGGGCCTGGGAGTGCTTTAACGCATCTTGATGGATGCCTTGGGTTGCTTTTGTACGTTTGTTGGAGAATGGTTGGGTTGAAGAAGGAAAAGAAGAAGAGGTGAGCGGGAAAAAGTGGGCGAGGACGGCCGTTTTATCAGGCAGCAAAAGCCAAAAAGGATGCGACCGAATGGCTTTCGAGTTGGTGCGTGCGCCCCGCAGCACAAACCACAGGCTCCAGGGCAGTTTCCCACCTGCTCGGCTCCACTAGGACCGCTAGGACCACTAAACCTACGGCGGGATTTTGAGCGACAGGCCGTTTGATTTGCTCCCAAGGCACGGCCAGCCAAATCCGGCAAGTGTGAGTCACACGCTCAGAGAGGCTTTGCACACAAAAAATGAAGTTCGCTGCAAACCCCAAACTTTGTGAAACTCTCACTTTTCTGTACTGCTCTCCCTCGGATGTGCAGGGATGCCAGGCACAGCCCCACTTGGTGTCAGCCCCTCAAGTGGTCGACCAATCAGATGCGACCTGCGAATTGGAGCGAACCCAAATTGGCGCCGGCGACCAGGCCTCCTGCCATGTCGCGCACAAGGGCGTTGCCAAACGTCCAAATGTCAAAATGCTACTCCGTACAGTAGTCTACGGTAATTTGTCTACGACTTTACAGATGGGACGCGACATGCAGGACACCGCTCAAGAGGAGGCACATTGACGGGGGATGGATAGGACTACGAATCGCGCCCTAGACTCTGTCGCCTGTTGAAGAGAGATGTGATGAACACGCAGCGGGCTTCGCAACCTCAGTCGTCAGGACCAGTTGCCAGGACTCTGGGGACACGCAACTTGGTTGCGAAACACAGTGGGATGGCTGGATGCCAGACCAGTGAATGCCGTTGCCGACCAGCCGTGTGTGTGTAACCAAATGTTGGATTGACCCGCCTCGCTGATGGGGGCTTGCGGTCCGCGTGCCTGGGATGTTCCCTTCCTGGGCTCGTAACTCGTAAGCTCCTGCTGAGGATACCTGTCCTGGATCGAATTCACCCACACGAGGAATCCGATCACCACAGGGGAAAAAGGGAAGGAGTTCGAAACACATGGGCCCAGGTGGATGGTCATGATGCTTGAACTCCTGTCACACAGCAGACGATCCGATATTCGTCGGATTCTGTTTGGCCAGCCCTATCATCGGTCTGCCTGGGACGCCGCTTCTGTCAATATCAGGATGAGGTTGAAGGAATTCGCACTTTTTTATCCCACAATCTTCCAAGCCGGAAGAGCCCCCCTCCAAAGCCCATAATTGATGAGGCAATTCCTAAAAAAAATAAACCAAGAAACTTGAAAACGACGCTACTGTCCCACCAAGTGGATAAGATCTGTCTCCAGTGTACTCCACAATCTCGGACCGCAACCTTGGAAAAGTCGGGAAAGGGCAAAGGAATGTGATCGACATGTTCTGTCGAATAAAAATGCTCAATTGGATTTGCAAACCGAGCAAAGGATGCAATAAAGAAGCGGGAAACTGTGCAATTGAGTTTTGTGACTCATTCTCAATTCATGTTCAAGTCCGTGAGGTTACATGAGGTCTGTGCAGCGCAGTTGCTTCAAGCCTTGCTGTGGGATATGGTATTAATCAGCATCGAATTTGGATCCTTTCCGCTGGAATAATGCTGCCGGCTTTGGACGACCTGCATGTGCTTCGAAAAGCGTGGAAAAATATAATGCATTGCGCCTCCACCTGGGAGATACGCAACATGTGAAGCACTGTGGAATAAGTCCCTCCGTACGGACTATTGGATGGGTAATTAAGTCTGACCCGCATTGCTCTGGAGGGACGACCTTGCCCAG